TCATTTTCTGACCAATGTGTCCATTTATGGTCAAATTTTGTGTCCCTGACAACAAGTGTTTTCAGTGTGAAACTGATTAACTGAACCTGACCAGACAGGTTCAGGCAGCAGTGCCAGCTGCTGGAGGGTTCTAGTCAACTAATTAAGGTCACAGAGCTGAGCTTGCAGAGAAAAGCAGTGCAGGAACAGATAGCAAGTTTAAGCAATCTCTTTGCCCTGTGTGGGGGCAAAAAAGGAAAAAAAAGATAGGTCAGCCCCAGTACACTGTACAAGAGAACTATCTAAATGAGATGGCAGCAACCAGTGATCTTTGCAGCATCTCTCAGTCACATGTTCGCTTAGCGACCATTTCACTTCCAATTTAAGGAATGGATTGTGGTTGCTAAACAAGGAGAGGGTGTACTGTTCTTGCATCTAGAACACTAAAAATCAGAGACACAAGGTTAAACCCTTCTCCCAGATTTTTTTTTGTTTCTGTGCGATAAGGATGTTTGTAGGATAATATGGGATTCAGTCCTCCATTTAGTGCTATTTGTAACTGAATAATTATAAAATATGGTAGTGGAACATGACATATGTCACTGCCCTATGAAATATATCAACATAAATAGTACATGCTAATATCTGCTATATCAGCAGAACTCTGTTGATGTAGCAGCCAAAACCAGGATAAAGATATTGTAAGAACAGAAATCATATAGCTGGAAATAGTTCCACAACTGAATGAATCCATCTGTCATTTAAAAGGAGACTCCTAAAACCATTCAGGTCTAAAATTACCTAAATACATAACCAGCTGTTGATTCCCTAGAAATTGCAAATGAATTGAGAGAGAGAGGCATTTCTCTTTTGTACTGATTGTTTTTTATGGTTAGAGGTTTCTTCATTTTACTTTAATCAATGTTTTCACTTTTAATGGATGAACTAAATATTTTGTGATTTTATTTCCCTTTATTTAAATAACCATGATTTTTTTTTTTAATCTGCGCTCAGTCGTTACTGACTCTGCAGTGACTGCTTTGGACAAGTCCTTTGCAGTTTTCAAGGCACGGTGTTTCGGAAGTGTCCTTCCTAGGGCAGAGCCCAGCTGGCGAGTGCAGGAGGCGGGGTTTCTGTTGCTTTGCGCCCTTTTTGGGCGCCCCCGGTTTTTCACGCTTACCGGCAACTGCTCCCAACTCCTTTTTGCAAGGCGCCGCCAGCATTTTTCCT